CTTTACTAGTAACATGGCACCGTAGAAGATTGATACAAGCTAAAGACAGTCTATTGTCAATTGATTTACATGTGTAGTGTATTTACTAGTAACATGGCACCGTAACAGATTGATACAAGCTAGAGATAGTCTATTGTCAATTGATTTAAGTGTATACTGTCTTTACTAGTAACATGGCACCGTAACAGATTGATACAAGCTAAAGATAGTCTATTGTCAATTGATTTACATGTGTAGTGTATTTACTAGTAACATGGCACCGTAACAGATTGATACAAGCTAGAGATAGTCTGTTGTCAATTGATTTATATGTGTAGTGTATTTACTAGTAATATGACACCGTAACAGATTGATACAAGCTAGAGATAGTCTGTTGTCAATTGATTTATATGTGTAGTGTATTTACTAGTAATATGACACCTTAGCAGGTCTTAACGTTTGATTTTCTTGTTAAGTACATGTTACTAGCGCAATAATGGATTGATTTTATTTGGTTTTGTTTTGATAAATATAATTTCTTATTTTCTTGAGAATTGTAATTTCACTTTTGATATTTCGGTATTGTTTGGTACATTCTGCCTTATTCTGTTGAATTTATCGCCTATACTCTTAACATAATTTATAATACTAGATTTTTTATGTATGTGTGTGTGTGCGTACGGTTTGAAAAACGACTGCTAGTTTGGGCCAACAATTACTGGCTATTTACATATTTATTAGGGCCTAAACCTGATAATAGGTTAGGTTACCTTTTGTCAGAACATCAGCCATGATATGGCGCGGCAAAGAGTTCACAAGATGCTTGAAAATGTTCAGAAAGATTTTTCTCCCCAATCAGTCATTAACGTTGTACGTAATTCATGGAGAGAGGTATCTTTCATGTTCATCTCATAGTTACTCAACTGAATTACGATCCGGGAATTTTGGTGGCCATGGAAGATGTCTAAAGTCTCCGTCATGTTCCTCAAACCATGTATGCACAATTTGGGTATGGTAGATGGAAGCAATGTCGTCCCCATCAGGGATTTGATCAGAAATTTTGCTGAGGTAAGCTTTGGCATTCATTCTGCTTTCTAAAGGGGGGAAGGGGCCCAAAGTATTTCAGAGCCATAACCATGACTCTCTACCCACCCACCACAGAAGTCTGGATAGTTGGGATCACACAAGAAGGGCAAGTTATTTTGGGGGCTTTTCCCAAATTTCTTTTCTCCCATCTGTGCAAAAAAAAAGGGGGGGAACCGTTATTCATTGGACCACACCACTTTTCAACACTTCTAATTAGTCCAATGTCTGCGCTCTTTATACCCTTTAAAGAGTTTTTCTTGTTGGTAACTAAGTGCAATGATTTACGCAATGTTCTACTGCCATAGTTCATTTGTTGCAACGTTCTTTGTAAAATATGGTTATTGATGGGCATAGATTACCCTGCATTGAATGTCTTTCAGTTGGTCTATTGTTTGATGACAGTTGGACTTTACTATCTTGTCTAACCACCTTTTTCTTCTGTCTGTCACTGTATTCACAGCCATAATTCTCCCTCACAGCATACATTTTATTCACCTTTTTATTCATTTCCAGTAACCTCAAATGACCAATTTCTCCAAAGCAGCCTACCAACGAAATTGTCTTACCCATTGTGGCATCCGATAGAAATTCACCCCTTTTTGCCTCTTTTCAAACCTACAGCATCTGTACCTTGCCCCATGTTTATTAGACTGACTGTAAATGTGCTTGTACTAGTTATTTATAGCGCTGGAGCGACCATCTGACACATCACCTGTTCAATCTAATTTGTATCTTCAGCTCAGGTCGGGCCTAAGTCTGAATGGGTACATGGGTTCTAATAAAGTAGACAGCTAGTGTATATAAAAATATGGCGCTCTACGTCTGGCTTGTAGGCTTATGATAACTGTTGGTTTCATCCAACAATCAGCATTGGTTATGTATAGAAATATAGTTTCGTATTTGTGGTTTGAAAGACAAATGTTGGCTTAGTCCAATAAACACTAGATATCTATACAAAAGCAATGGTTTATAAAGTACATATTTAGGTTTTCCATTATTTTCACAGTTGTGTTCAAGTAGAAACCTTCTATTTCTGTAATATGAAAGATAGCTGATATTTCAGATACTGTAACATGGTAGTATGTTTGTTTGTTTGTTTGTTGCTGAGAGCAAAGCTACACAAAGACTATCTCTGTTATACCCACCGCGAGTATTGAAACACAATTTTAGCGTTTTAAGACCTCAGTGTTACCGCTGGACCACCAGGGGGTTATGTGTGTGTGTGTTAGTTTAATGACTGATATCTTAGCTAACAGTAATTGGCGGTGCACTAAGTTGAATTATTTGTTATTAAGAAGTGATGATTTAAAATAATAAAATCGTGTATTTTTTCAACATACATATCTCGGTAATTATCAGTAGCCTAATATTTTGACTCACTTTGTACAATAAAACCCCACCCAACGCAAAATAGTAGCCTATATTGATTTTTCTGTCTGCTGATACTATGCCGTAAATATGACGTCAGTTGTCATGACAACGCAAGCGCCAAAGACACTGCGTTGCGCCTCTGAGTAGGTAAAATAATATTAGTCATCTCGTGTTCCACCACAAAGTAAAAAGCACTGAGATAATATCTCAGGTAGGGATAAAGGTTGTGGATATAATACAGGCTTCCAAGAGTAAGATAACAATATTCAGTTAGATAGCCTCTCATTGTGAAGGTAAGGATTGTTTCCCTTCGTGTCTTTATGTTAATATTTATGTATAGATATAATTTATATCTTATATTTCACGTGCTTTTATGGTAATTTTTATGTACTAATAGATATTTTACGTTGCATTAAGATGTTATTCTTAACAGCTGATTGATTTATATTTCTGTCCATGACTCCATTAGATCTTATAATAACGTGGAACATGCGATCACGTTACCGGGTAGACGTGTGTGTGACGTAAGCAATGTTAATATATACATATTTATATAATCTAAACAATAATGCACATTTATGTGATTATTTGGAATATGTATATATCTATATATATATACATATATATATCAATGATACTGCTATAATTATATATATATATATATATATATATCACTGATGACTCTCTGTTTTGAGGCATGGAAATTGTAATACTTCCTTTTTGTCATCATATTTTAACAATAAAATACGCACTCCGCGTGATTGTCTTTAATTGATCTACTTCCTAAACAAGCGTATAGATGTCGCTAAAATTAGCATGACTCATTGTTATTGTCCTCGGACAAAAATAAGATAATTATATATTAATTGTACCACTTTAGATAATAGACTCGCATTTTTTAAATTCTAAAGGTCTTAGATCTTATACAGATTTGAAAAAAAAACGAAGTTAATATGTAAGAAACAGGGTGTAATTTTGTGTAAATATGGCGCCAAAAACAGATATATATTAAATATGTTGTGCATTGTTTATTATCCGTATGTTACTTTAAATCAGCTTACACTGTAATTATTCCACGGTTTTCAACTGTCTATTACTACGTGCTATGTCTGTTGTGAATGCTAACTGTCATAAGAACTCTCGCTCAGCTATTTTTAATCTCCTTGTCGTTTGTAAATTGGAAAAGCTATGTCTTTGTTAATTTTCACCGAAGTGTGCTTTTTTTCATACTTGATATTTAACATTGTTGCCACGTATCTCTTATGAAAACAATTTTTTCGAACGGTAAGACATTCTGATGTTCCTCGATTGATTGAAAGATAATGATATATAACATTGTGTTTAAAGACAAATTTTCAACTTCACAGCACGTGATGTAATAGCATGTGAACGATATTTTCACATCTCTTCGTGGATTTATTTAAATAGTTAATTATATCTTATTTTTAACAAAGTAACGGAAACATTAAGTAAATAGGTATAAACGCTTAACTTTTTAGTAATATTCTTTTGAATATAATTTGCGAAGAAGGGAAAACCATAGGCATTAGTCACCGGTTACTGAAAACAAGTTACTGATTACTCGTTTCTTCAAAAAAAGTAATATTACGTCCTTACGCATTAGTTAACAAAAAAGTAGCGTGTTATATTACTCGTTACATGTCTTTCTCTTGTCTTAACTTGCCTATCAATTGTTGTAACTAGTTCTTATTGTTGTTGTGTTTTAAACCATACGTTTGGAAATTTATTTATTAATATCTGTTATGCCAGCCTAGGGCTCAGTCCTAGGTGGTGTGTACAGCACAGATAGCCCATTGTGTAGCTTTGCGTTAACAACAAACAAACAAACAAAACAAATTTGCTATGCTTTTCATACAATGTATGTAGCCAGTTAATTTGGCTGCACAGTGCGCATGCGCACAATTAGCCAGATTAAAAAACGAAACTAACGCCTCTGTGCCGATATAGCTCGTACAATAGCCATTTTTTGAGCTGCCTTCTAAAATTGATCATGACAGTTACTCAAAGGAAACACATATTTGACACGTAGTTTAGATATTTAATTTGCTTAGAATTTAGAAGTTGACATTTTCTTTGGCCTTAGAAGAAGAAAAAAGAGCATTACCAACAGAGAGCAGGTAACGAGACGAACTCTTTTTTTTTTTTTTTGTGAAAAGTAACTGTAATATTATTATTACTCCCATTGAAAATCTAAAGCATTATAAAACCTCGTTATTGACAAAGGTAATAGCATTACAGTGATAAGTTACTTAAATAACGCGTTACCCCTAACTCTTTTAATAAGTGTATTGAATCTTGCATATTTGGTGTGCTCTGTGCAAACAAAAAGTTTGAACATTGTCCACCTGCTCCGACGTCGTTGTCTATACAATTCGTACATTGACGTCAGCAGAAGGCCAGCATTCGTCACGGTTATTCACTCGAATATGATTGTCAAAACTACTAGAGTGCTCTACCGCTAAATTAATGGTTCTTTGTAATTAAACACAAAGCTACACAATGGCTATGTTATAAACATAGCTGGTAGGTAATGTTCCTCTTACCTCTCGACTTCTCGCCGCGGGACACGGCCAACTTCATCCGCCACTTCAAACCCCAAGCCCGAGTATTCCCTGAGCGAACTCGACGTCTGCGGAAGGGAGGCTTACTAGAAGATTTCCACTACCTTCGCCAACCCTGAACTTCACTTTCCAACCCCCCAAAAGCAGTGCCAGTCTCCACACTATATTTATCCGGAACATTCATATATCCTTTACACCAGAAGAAATACTCCAAGCCCTGCTAGCTACAACAGATTCTACGATCCACGCTGTCCACCGCATCCAGTCCAAGAAAAGAGGTTCACCCTCCACGTTCATGAAAGTTGTCAGAACTTCTAAACATACAGCAGATCTCATCCTCTCCTACGGTTGCTTCCTCGACTATCACCATTTCAAAGAAGAAAAACCTTATCGCAAGCCTCACCCACCCCATACCTTTCCTAACCCACCCCCCAAGCCCACGTTTCACAATACCCAGAAGATAACCGCCGCCGACCAGAACTCTACCGCCCATCCTAATACAACAGACCAAGCTACTCAAACTTCACCCACTCCTGATACACAAGATATGTCTACTCAAACCATCACTACCAGGAGGAAAAAAGGTACCCAGACACAGCCACCACTTACCATCGACGCCTTTCAACAGACCAACAGCACGCCTCCCAGCCCCAAGCCACTGTCTTCATCATCATCGACGTCTAACTCACCAAACGCCCTAGTAATCGATACCTCCCCCCCCCCCGATCTCTACCTACCCGACGAACCTTTCTCAGTCTTCCGCTCTCTCATCTACGACACTGAGAACCCCACGCCTTTACCACCTGCCCGGAACCAGAAACTATACGAATTCAAATCCACGATAAATTCCAGCAGACTACACAACAACTTCAAGTATTAATCAACCCCCAGCACCGGCCTTCACTTTGCCTTCCCTACTTGCAACTTACTTCTTCTCGTTAATAGAGCACTAGTAACGGATCAGACGTTACCAGTGAAAGTGGGTGTTCTCGGGGTACTCTCGTTTCCCCCACACTTAATTCTCGGCATAGGATTTTTAGATCCCCGCCGCCCTGATGGACCATCTGTCCGATATCGGCCGTTTACGTTTAGTTTTAGTTTTAGTTTACTTTGCTTCACTTTTTATTATCTATAATTACTCTCTCTTGATATTTTTAAAATTTACATATCTAGCCCGCATTAATTTCCCATTTCTCATGCTAAGCCCTTACTTCTAGACCACGAGCGGGGTGAAGGAGGATTGCTCAATCTTCGAGCACCCCCAGATTAATAATTATTTCTTCGGAAATAATTATTTTTAAATCTAAATAACTGCCAGGAAAACGAAAACGAATGTTCCTCTCTTTTGTTTCCATTTTTCATTGTCATCTAACAATTCTACTTACAACTATTTAGTTCATTTATATAAATCGCATATATTAAGCTAAGGTCACCTAACATCTAAGACAAATTTTTTATAACTTTCTTTCTGCTGCATTATACAGTTAACGAGAAAAATAGCTGTTTGTTAGTTCGTTTGTAATTAAGCACAAAGCTACACAATGGGCTATCTGTGCTCTGCCTACTACGGGTATCGAAACCCGGATTCTAGCGTTGTACGTCCGCAGACATACTGCTGTGCCACTGGGGGGGGGGGGCAGAAGAATAGCCAAAAAGTATTTGTTGTTGTTTTAATTAAAATATATTTATTTATTTATTTTAGTTTAAATTGTAACTAACTTTACTACTGTAAGTAACATTTTCGTTTCAATAGCAAAATTCAGAAAGTTGCAAAAAAAATCATCGAGTCTCCGAAGATATTGTCGCTTCAAACTACAGAACATATCTTTATATGGCAATTTTAATAACTGTATCTCATGCATGCAGGGTTTGAACCCAAGATGACTCATATTCAAGCCAACTGTTCTACCAACTGAGCTAAAGAGTTAAACCACTAGAAATTACTAGTAAGACTCATTCTTTAACAACTCAAATTACCATATTATAAAAATTGGCGCCCATCGTGAGGCAACCCCATAACCCCGAGTTAATCAGACAAGGCTCGATGGTGGGCCTTATTTTAGTGAGAGGGGAAGAATGTGGTTTTTTTGAGTAGCTAAAACAAAAAAGTGCTTTAAGATAAATTGCTAGTAGGTTAAATTTAGTTGATAAAGCGCTAGTCTAGCGTGTGAGCAGTACTGGGTTCGATTCCTGTTTGAGGGATTCGCAAAAACTATAATTACCCCATTTGCAAAGCAATCGATAAGAGAATAATTTTTGCTTTTTGACTGTATGTTTGTTAGTTAAAGGTAAAAGACGGATGATTCATATAATATTTATTGATTGAGAATATTCAATGTAAAACTTACTAATCCAAAGTGTAAGGTTGTTTTTATTATTTATTCTTTAGAAAATAACTTGAAACTTCTTGCGATTTTTTATTCGTTTTAGGGACTTGCTCCATCGACCCCACTTTTATGCGTATCATTAATACATTTAAATTAAACAAAAAGAGTGACATAGTAACACATTTGATAACTTTCTTCTTATTCCTTTTTCATTTCAGCAGAATAAAAGGTGGTTTGTAGTCTGTATGATATGCTTTAGTAACCTAGTATAAATCAAAGGAGAATTTTTATAACTAGTATATCTACTAATAATATCACAACACGTAGAAGCTTGTTATAACTAGTATATCTGCTAATAATATCACAACACGTAGAAGCTTGTTATAACTAGTATATCTA